ATATAAATATATATAATATATATATATATATATATATATATATATATATATGCATGTAGATATACATACAAGTGCACATATACATACACACATACATATATATGTATATATGTGCACACACACCCCTATACATATTTGTATGTGCATATGTTTGCATGCACATATATATATACATATTTGTATGTACATAGATTTGAATGTACATATATATACACATATTTGTATGTGCATATATTTGTATGCACATATATATATATGTAAACATATTTGTATGTATATATATTTGCATGTACATATATATATATGTATATTTGTATGTACATATATTTGTACGTACATATATATATACATATATATGTGGGTATATGAGCTGGTCTTTGCTTTTATTGTACAGTATTTGGTGCTTCTGGAGCTTCGAAATGAGCCCAGTTGGCTGCCCTGTGGCGCTGCAGACGCTGAGTGTTAATTAGAGAGAAAAAGAAAAGCAAATTTAATTATTTTGACTCAAAAAAGACTTTTAATTAATTAGAAAGAGTTTTTGGCGGGTTTTCTGTAAATGCCGTTTTGAGGCGCTGCGGTGTCTGTACACCCGAGGCAGCCACCGCCTCCGGCGCGCCAGCCTGGAGGGTTTGGGGGCTCAAATTGAAGCAATTTTTGTCGATTTCATTTTTAATTTCTGTTTGGATTGATTTAAAAAAGAAATAAATCTGTTTTTGCGGCGCTAGAAGCAGCAGCAGCAGCTTGCGGCTGCGCCCTCGCGTGTCGCGGAGAGTGTTCAGCTTGGGCGCTGCGGAGGCGCCACCGGGGTGTATGGACATGAAATCAAAAGCCCAACACAATAAAAGATATTTTAAATTCATATTTTTGTTTTTTTTTCCGCTTTTGAACCGCGAGATCTCGCGCGGAAGAAGCCGATGCACAGACCAGCGGCGCGGAGGCCTGACCGGACCAGCGCCCGCGGACTTCGCGCGCGTTTCGCGTTTTGCTGCTTTTAGTCGCTTTTTCCCGGAAATATTCTTTAAAAATGCAAAAGCATTTACCTTTATGAAGTCCTTTTTGGCTTTTGGGGCTCGAACGGCTGCAGGGGCGCAGAGACACAGCAGCAGCAGCAGCAGCAGCAGCAGCAGCAGCAGCATAGCCACTGAACAGCCACTGCCGCCGAGGCCCTCTCTCTTCTCCCGCAGGGCTGTGTACGTACACCTGAGCCTCCCACTTGGCTTTATTTTGGCTTTTTTTAGCCTTTTGTTTTAATCTTAAATGCAAAAAGGAGACAAAGAGGCCCCGAGACACAAACAGTGCAGCAGCAGCAGCAGAAGAGACAAGAGCCAGCGAGCGGCAGGGGAGGGCCCGCAGCAGCAGCAGCGCAGCAAGCAGCAGAAACAGCAGACAGCCCCTACACGGCCTCTTCCGCGGCTCAGGGCCTAGGGTTTAGGGTTTAGGGCCTAGGGTTTAGGGTTTAGGGTTTAGGGTTTAGGGTTTGGAGCAGAAGATGCCCCCCTGAGCTACCTCAAGAGACACTCCGTGGCACCAATGGCTCTCCCTTTCGCGCTGCGGCCCCAGCGGCCAGCAGCAGCAGCAGCAGCAGCAGCAGCAGCTCTTTCTCTTCTCTTTTGCTGCTTCCTTTCCGCCCTGCAGCAGCCAGCTGCAGCAGTGACGGTGAGCCCCCGCGCAGCTGCTGCTCGGCCCATCCTTGCTGCGCTGCTGCTGCTGCTGCTGCTGCTGCTGCCTTCTTGCTGCCAGGCTGCTGCTCCGGGGCTCCCCTGCTGCTGCTCTGCTGCAGCTGGCGCGCAGCGCCAGCAGCAGCGGCTGCAGACGTGCTGCAGCAGCAGCAGCAGCACGCCAGCAGCCGCCGCTGCTGACGCGCTGCTGCAGCAGCAGCAAGCAGCGCTTGCTGCTGCAGACCACTTTTCGCTGCTGCTGCTGCTGCTGCTGCCACTGCCGCTGCTCCTGCTGCTGCTGCTGCTGCTGCTGCTGCTGCTGCTGCTGTCTTTGCCTATCTGTTTGATTTAAAATCTTTTTGTTCTTTTGTTTTCTCGCAGCCAATAACCCCCATGCAGCTTTCAGTACCCTGGGGCCCCGGGGCCCCCGGGGGCCCCGGGGGCCCCCGGGGCCCTGGGGGCCCCCCAGGTGGCGGGGGAACTGTTTTGCGGCTGTCTGCTGCTGCTGGATTTGAAGAAGCAGCAGCAGCAGCAGCAGCAGAAGCAGCAGAAGCAGCAGAAGCAGCAAGCCTCTGGCCCGGAGGCGTTGCGGTGCAGCAGCAGCTGCGCGAGCAGCAGGAGCTGCAGCAGCAGCAGCAGCAGCAGCAGCAGCAGCGCAGCCGCGGGGTGTACCGACACCTGTGGGCGGAGCAGCAGGCCCCGGGTGTACGTACACCTGCTGCAGACACCCCACAACTCGCGGAGGAGTCCAGAAGTCTCCGAAGTGGCATTTCTTCTTTTTTGGAAAAGTCTGTAACTTCAACAAATACTCCAAGTGCTTTTACAGTTGCAGATCCTTTTGCTTCCTGGCTGCCTGCTGCTGCTGCTGCAAAGGCAGCAGCAAAGGGGCCCCCGGAAGAGGGCCCCCCGGCGGAGGCTGCTGCTGCTGCGCAGCCGCCAGAGCAGCAGCAGCAGCAGCAGCCTGCTGCTGCTGCTGCTGCCCCTGCTGCTGCTGCTGCGCCAGAAGAAGGCTCCAAGCCGGAAGCTGCTGCTGCGCAGCCAGAGGCCTCCGAGGAGCAGCAGAAAGCGAAGGAGCCGGCTGCTGCAGCAGCTGCTGCTGCTGCTGCTGCAGCAGCTGCTGCACAAGAGGCTCTTGCTGCAGCAAAAGCGGAAACTGAGCGACACGCCGAGGAAGAAGCCGCGAGGCTGCAGCGGGAGCAAGAGCAGCAGCAGCAGCAGCAGCAGCAGCAGCAGCAGCAGCAGCAGCAGCAGCAGCAGCAGGACTCCGAGGCCAGCAGAGCCGGGAGGAGGAAAGAAGCTGCCAAGGGAGAAAAGTCTCTTGAAAAAGCTCTTGCGCAAAAGTTTGAAAAGTTGAAATTGACAGAACAAGAAACAAAAGAGTTTGTTGACACTAAAGGTACAAAATAAAAAAGCTTTTTAATTATTTAAAAAATAAAAAAGTTTTTTTATTTATTTAATTTAAATTCTGCTTCAAACGATTGCTGCCACACACTTCTCGAGACACCTCAGCAACTGTGCTGCTGCTGCTGCTGCTGCTGCTGCTGCTGCTGCTGCTGCTGCTGCTGCTGCTGCTGCTGACAAGGGCTTTCTTCCTCGTTAATCCCAATTTTTTTCTAATTCAAAATGATTTATTTATTTTCTTTTAATTTTAAATCTTTTTCATTTTATAAGTCCCGTTGCGTGGCTTTTGCTGCTGAGTTTTGTCTCTGGCGAATTTCGCAATTTTCTTTTTTTCTTTTTTTCTTTTTTCTTTTTTCTTTTTTCTTTTTTCTGGCCTTTTGCTGTTGTTGGTCCACTGGGAGACCACTGGAAAAAGGAAATAAATAAATAAAATAAATGCAAAAGTGGCATTTTAAATAAAAAAGCCATTTAAAAGATAATTCATTTTGTCTTTTTAATTTTAAATTTATTTTTCAGAAGTTGCAAAAAATGTGCGGCGACTCGTTGGCCTCAAGGCGGGCTCGAACTTGCATTTGGAAAACCAAAAGTTAATAAAGCCGGTGAGTCATTTTGGGAAAAAAAGAAAATAAATAAAATAAAATAAATGCAAAAAGTGGCATTTTAAATTAAAAAAAGTCATTTTAAAAACAATTCAAATGCATGCAGTCCCTAGAGAAAGACCAAAAAGAACTTGCAATTAAAGACTTTAAAAAACAAAAAAAGTCACAAGTTGATTTGCTGAGGCGCTGCAGCAGCGGGCTGCAGCAGCAGCAAATTGCGAGGAAAAAGAAAGAATCTGCTGCTGCAGCAGCAGCAGCACTGTTGCTGCTGCTGCAGGACTTGGCCTTTGCTGCAGCGAGAGCAGGCCTCTGCAGCAGCAGCAAAGCGCATCTGCGCGCGCATGCACTTGAGCGCATGCACTTAAGTGCATGCATTTAAGCGCATGCACTGCGTGCATGCATTTAAGCGCATGCAGTGCATGCATGCAAGTGCATGCATTTAAGCGCATGCACTGCATGCATGCATTTAAGCGCATGCAGTGCATGGACTTAAGTGCATGCAATTAAGTGCATGCAGTGCATGCATGCAAGTGCATGCATTTAAGCGCATGCACTGCATGCATGCACTTAAGCGCATGCAGTGCATGCATGCAGTGCATGCATGCATTTGAGCGCATGCATGCAGTGCATGCATGCATTTGAGCGCATGCGTTTGCATGCGTTTGCATGCGTTTGCTGCTTCAGGGCTGCGACCTGGCGACGTTTGGGCCTGCGTACTGCGCAGCAGAAGACAACCCGCGGGCCGCAGATATTTTGTGGAGTTTGGAAAGCAGAAAGAATAACAGCTATTTAGTTATTGCTGCATGCATGCTGCTGTTTGGGGCTTTGGTGCAGCAGTGCTGCAGCGCGCTGGAGCGCAAAGTGCTGCGCGGAGATGCTTTTTCGAAAGAAGTCCTCGAGACTGCTTTTCGCCAGATTGCCTTCATTGCCATTGTCGACGTGCTCCTCTGGGGCTGCATGCAGTCCAACGTCGCAGCAATCCTCGACGAACTCGTCTTCGGAGACGTGAGCAGCAGCAGCAGCAGCAGCAGCAGCAGCAGCAGCAGCAGCAGCAGCGGCGGCGGCGGCAGCAGCGGCTCTGCAGCAGCGGCTGCGGCTGCGCTGCTGCGGCGCGGAGATTTGCTTCGACGCGCTGCGCGCGGTGGCGGGGAGGCCCGACCAGCACCAGCAGCAGCAGCAGCAGCAGCAGCAGCAGCAGCAGCAGCAGCAGCAGCAGCAGCAGCAGCAGCAGCAAGTGCGTTTGTGGCTGTTTGTCGTGTTTTGCTGCTTTCAGGTAATGCCGCGGCAGCGAGACGCAGACATTGTCTTAGAAAATGTCTCGCCGATGCTGGAAGTCCTTTTCGAGGATCTTTTCTTCGTGGCCATTTTGCTGCTGATCTGGTGAGTGCAGCAGCAAACAGCAGCAAACAGCAGCAAACAGCAGCAGCTGCTGGGCTGCTGCAGCTCTGCAGCAGGCCAGACTGCTCTCTGGCGCTCCTTCCTGCTGCGCTGTGTCCACCTCAGCCTTGCTGCTGCTGCTGCTGCTTCCTCTGATGCCGCTGCTGCTGCTGCAGTTGCTGCTGCTGCTGCTTCCTCTGATGCTGCAGCTGCAGGTGCTGCTGCTGCTGCTTGCTGCTGCTGCTGCTGCTGCTGCTGCTTGCTGCTGCTGCTGCTGCTTCTGCTTGTTGCTGCTGCTGCTGCTGCTGCTGCTGCTGCTGGCGGTTGGCCTGCTGCAGAGCTTGCTGCTGGGGCGTTGCGTGCTGCTGCTCGCAGGTACGTGGCGTTTGTGGTGCTGCTGCAGTGCCTCGTGCGGCAGCTAGCAGCATGGATGCGCAAAGTCGACGAAGAAGAAGATGTGACGGAAATCGCCAGAAAAGCAGAACTTGCGGAAAACTCCTGCTTCGGCCGCTGCCTCCACTCCGAAGACATTGCCAAGGCTGTCTTCGTCGCACACAGGCAAGCCACACGCCAGTAGCAGCACAGCAGTAGCAGTAGCAGCAGCAGCACAGCAGCAGCAGCAGCAGCAGCAGCAGCAGCAGCAGAGCATGCGGGTTTTTGTGCTGCAGATACGAATTTGCGGACAATGTGGAAGCAATGAGCATTCCTGGAATTGATCCTTCGGGCTATTACTTCATGGAGTACCTGCGGGCTTGTTTGCTGCGGATGGCAATAGAAATGCTGCGGCTGCCAGTCAGCACTTTGCTGCTGCTGCTGCTGGCAGCAGCAGCGCTGCGCCCCTTCCTCAGCTGCAGACTGCATGCAGAAGCAGCAGTGCTGTCGCTGTGCTCGCTGCTGTGTCTGCTGGCCATGCTGGCCACTTGGGCTTTTGCTGCTGCAGTTGAGCAGCAGCTAAGGCCTTCCAAAGTTCCCCACTATTTAGTAATGAGATACCACATGGAGTTGGGCGGAGAAGCAAAAGAGACTTACCTCCACGAGTTCACGCCCCCCTACAAGCTGCAGCAGCAGCAGGTCAGGCCCCGCTGCAGCAGCAGCAGCAGCAGCAGCAGCAGCAGCAGCGGCAGCAGCAGCAGCGGTGGAGTAGTGGTGCAGTAGAAGCAGCAGATGTTCTGTAGCACCTCCATAGCGACCTCTTCTGCTGCACTCCCTAGTCCCGTGCTGCACCTCTTCTGCATCTCCTCCTGCTGCTGCTGCTGCTGCTGCTGCTGCTGCTGCTGCTGCTTCAGAGTGCCTGGCCAGGAGTTTGTTCGCGCTACTTCTACGGAACGACTTTGCCGAATAAACACCAGCAGCTGTTTTGCTTCTGGGCCAATGGACCGACCATTGTGATGCGGGCTTTGGAAGTGAGATTTTTCATTTGCTGCTGCTCATTTAAAAAAGCAAATAAAATAAAATAAAATAAAATAAAATAAAATAAAATAAATTCAAATCCACTTTTGCTGCAGCAGCCCAAAGAGGTTGAGAAGACAAGAAGCTCAGCCCCCTCTTTGTGCGCTTGTGCTGCTTGCCCGGGCCTCCCCGCTGCTGCTGCTGCTGCTGCTGCTGCTGCTGCTGCTGCTGCTGCTGCTGCTGCTGCTGCTGCAGGCGTCGTACTTCTGCCAGCTGCTGGTGCTGGCGTGGTGGGTGCAGCTGCTGCGCTCCCACCCCGCCACTTGGCTGCGCATCTCCTGGTGGGGAAGTGCTGCTGTTGGACTTTTCGCGCTGCTGCACTTTTTGCTGCTGAAGAAAGTGCTGTACTCCACGCTGCTGGCGCTGCACTCGGGCATGCTCGTGGACCACGTGCTGCTGGAAAAGGTCAGCAGCAGCAGCAGCAGCAGCAGCAGCAGCAGCAGTAGCAGCAGCAGCAGCAGGAAGTGCAGCGCAGTCGCTGCACGAGTTGCTGCAGCAGCAGGCGTGCTGCTGCAGTTGGGGGGGGCAGGCGGCGCTGCTGCAGCAGCGGCAGCAAGCGCAGATCAACTCGCTCCACGAGTTGCTGCAGCAGCAGATGGTGCTGCTGCTGCTGCTGCGCGTGCTGCTGCTGCTGCAGCACGTGCTGCACGCGGGGTGAAGCTGCAGCTAGTTGCTGCTGCGCTGCTGCAGACAGGCCGCAGCGCAGCAGCAGCGCAGAAGCAGCTTCTGCAGCAGCAGCACGCGGGCCTGCTGCTTCCCCTTTTGGTTCATTTTAGCAGCATTTTGGGTCTTTTTGGGAGCTTTTTGGGTCTTTTTTTGCGCATTTTTTTGCTGCCAGCAGCATTTATTTCTTATTTCTTTTTTAGTTCTTCTTTTGAGATCTTTTGGGATCTTTTTGCTTCCATTTGGGCCCCAAATTGCGCTTTTGGACTCAGGTTTGGGAAATTCAAAGGGCCGAAAACGTGCGACGCACAGCCGAACTCGTAGACCGCCTGCGAGTGCAGTCCACACTTTTCGCAATCAGCGAAGGCGGAGACATCTTTTGGAAACAAATGCAAATCAAGTCTGTTGCTGCTGCTGCTGCTGCTGCTGCTGCTGCTGCTGCTGCTGCTGCTGCTGCTGCTGCTGCTGGTGCGGGTGGTGCTGCTGGTGTTGCTATTGCTGCTGTTGCTGCTGCTGCTGCTGGTGCCGGTGGTGCTGCTGGTGCTGCTGGTGCTGCTATTGCTGCTGTTGCTGCTGCTGCTGCTGCTGCTGCTGCTGCTTTTGCTGCTGTTGTTCTGCTGCTGGTGATGCTGTTGCTGCTGCTGGTGAAGGTGCTGCTGCTGCTCGTGCTGCCTTTGCTGGTGGTGGTGCTGCTGTTGCTGCTGCTGCTGCTGCTGCTGCTGTTTGGCTGCGCGCCGAAGGAAGCAAAAGTGCCAGAGGGAGTTTTTTGGATCTTTTTGTCGCCTTTTTTTTGTTAAAAAGAATACTTTTCTTTCCACTGTTTGCTGCTTCGAAAAAGCTTTTAATTTTTGCTTTTTTGTTTCTTTTTTTGCTTCTTTTTTTCCTTTTTGCTGCGCAATTTGCAGAGTTTTGGCAGTCTCGCGGGCCGTGAAGGACCAAATGGTGGCCATGTGGGCTTCTCTCGACGAAGAACACTTGGGCCAAATCGACAGATCCAAACTTTTCAAATTCCTCAAGTCCCAAGGCCTCGCAGTCCAGACTGAGGCCGACGTCAACGTGAGTTTGCATGCAGCAGCAGCAGCAGCAGCAGCAGCAGCAGCAGCAGCAGCAGCAGCAGCAGCAGCAGCAGCAGCGCATGCAGCAGCAGCGCATGCAGCAGCAGCAGCGCAGGTGCAGCAGTGCATGCAGCAGCTGCAGCAGCAGCGATCAGCGCATGCAGCAGCTGCATGCGTCTGCAGCAGACATTTGCTGCATGCATGTCTTGGGGCTTTGTGCATGCATTGGGGCTTCAAAAGTAATTTTTTGAATTTATTTTTTCTGTTTTTCATTTTTTCTTTTTTCCTTTTTTGAATTTCTTTTTCGCGGCTTTCCTCTTTCCTTTTTCTGCTTCGTTTATTCTTTTTCCTTTTCCTCTTTTTGCTTTTCTTCTTCGAATTGTTTTTATTTTCCAACTTTTATTTTTTTCTTCTTCAGGACTTTCTCCAAGTCTTCGACAGAACCAACAAAGGCGGAGTTGACGAAGAAGAGTTTTTCGTTTTGGCGTTGGTGGTCAAACAGCTTCTTGTCGAGCCCTTGGACAAAGATGCCTTGAGAGTCCGTTCCCTTTTTGTCAAGCAGCAGCAGCAGCAGCAGCTGCTGCTGCTGCAGCAGCAGCAGCTGCTGCTGCAGCAGCGGCGGCAGCAGCTGCAGCAGCGGCGGCAGCAGCTGCTGCAGCAGCGGCTGCAGCGGCGGCGGCTGCAGCAACGGCTGCTATGTCTTTGGCCGGTCCCGCCAGAGACACAGGAGCAGCTGCTGCTGCAGCTGCTGCTGTTGCAGCAGCTGCTGCAGCTGCTGCTGTTGCAGCTGCTGCTGCAGCTGCTGCTGCAGCTGCTGCTACTGTGTTGTTCTGGGGCCGCTCAGCGCTGTGAAAATAAAAGGGAAAAGCTGGGTCTATTTCTCTGAGGCCTGTGGCCTAGAGCTCTGGGAAATGCTGCGCTGCTGCTGCTGCTGCTGCTGCTGCTGTTGCTGCTGCAGGCCCTCTTTGAAGACAAGTATGGCATACCCTGGACAGCTCCCACAGGCATTGACGTCAACAGCCTCGCCAGGATCCTCTCAGATGTGAGCCTCAGCTGCACATGCATGCATGCATGCATGCATGCATGCATGCATGCATTCATGCATGCAAGCAAGCAGCCTGAGTAAAGCCCGCAGCTGCGCATGCAAGCATGCATGCCCGCATGCGTCCATGCATGCATGCATGCATGCATGCATGCATGCATGGACACGTGCGAGCCTGACCCACGGCTGCAGCTGCGCATGCACGCATGCAGACGCGCATGCAGCTGCGCATGCATGCATGCCAAAAGGCAAACGCATGCATGCATGCATGCATGCATGCACGCATGCATGCATGCATGCACGAACGCATGCACGAACGCATGCAAGCATGCATGCATGCATGCGTTTGGCCGTTTGCATGCAGATTCGAGTGCACTGGTCGGAGGGCAAGCGGCGCTACTTGCTGGACTTCGTGGGGGGCAAAAGAGGAACTGCCGGAGTTGCTGCTGAGTTGTTTGTCTCGCAGCTGCAGGCCATGGAGGAACAAACCCTGCAGCCTTTCCAGCAAGTCCGCCTGCCTTTTTGCTGCTGCTCTTCGCTTCTAAGCAGCAGCAGCAGCTGCTGCTGCTGCTGCTGCTGCTGCTGCTGATGCTGCTGCTGCTGTTACTGCTGCTGCTGCTGTTACTGCTAATGCTGCTGCTGCTGCTGCTGTTACTGCTAATGCTGCTGCTGCTGTTGCTGTTACTGCTGCTGCTGCTGTTGCTGCTGCTGTAGCCGCTGCTGCTGCTGCTGCTGCTGGTATGCTTCGCAGGCCGC